ATCAAGAGATATTATGTCATCATTATGAAGGCATTGCAATCATTTTTAGGATAAAACTGGACTTTTTAGCTTCAAGTTGAATTGAATCATAACCATAACCATCTTGGCTTTGTATCAAAGACTATAACATTCGATCATGAAATGTTTAAAGGTTATACAGACAAGAAGTCAGTTAATAGCCATACAAGAGTTAAGATGGGTGGAAGATGGTTAAGCCAATCTTTATACACTATTTTATAGCAGGAGAAACGATAAGGAAACAAAAATATGGAACGGCCCATAGTTGTTTTATAGTTAGTCCAAAAGCAAGAAAATCAATCATAAACTTTACTGTGATTATCAATGTGCATGTGCCCACTAAAGATAATGATGATAGTATGAAGAATAACTTCTAATATGAGAAAATGTTGTGAATCAAGCTCATAAATACAATATAAAATTAGTAATAAATGGTACTGATGCCAAAGTAGGACGAGAACCCCAATTTCGGCCTAAAATTTGAGGACAAAACCTTCACAAAACAAGCTGTAAGACCTATGCTCAGCCCTCAACCGGAAGATATGATGTAAGAGCAATGACAATGGATCTAATCGTCAGTAGTATGATGTTCCCACACAAAGACATCAACAATTACACTAGAGTACAACATAAATAATATAATATTACATAATAGTATAAAGCCCTAAAGGTGTGAAAAACCAAATTGATGATATGCTGGTAGACAAGAAACTTCAGGGCTTCATAAAAGATATAGTGTCTTATAGTGGATGGAGCAGATTGTGATTCAGGTCAAACTCTGATCAGAATCAAAGCATGTCAGGGATTGAAGCGAATCTAAAAAGCAGGAGATTAAGTATAAATAAGGAGGTACGAAGTCCATAATTTGAAAAATTCTGAAGTAAAAACCAAATTCAAAATTGAGAGAGAACCCTTGGACTTAAGAGGGATTCACAGTGGACCAATACTACTCAAAGGCATAAGAGAAAGGGCTAAAAGTAACAGATAAGGTTATAAGTAATATGTATTCAGGAGAAACGAAAAGCCAAGAAGTGGATCACAGAATCATGCAAAAATGGGGCCAAGCAAGCTAACGCATGTGCACAGCATTGCCCACAATTATCTTCTGACAGCCTGAAGGAAGAAAATTAGATGAAATAATTACAACTTCGCATCCCGGTGCCTGGGAGACTTTTAACTCTGGTATTAACCCCCCCCCCCTCACCCTCTGGCCGGGGAAAACCCTGTATAGCCTTAAAGGCGAGGAAGGAGAGAGAAAAAATAAATAAAGAAGCATGCAAAAAGATAGTGAAAGAAAGGTGAAAATTGAAAGTCCTCTGCATAGCGAAAAGTGAGTTAACTACTTTGGACAATTGTACTGAATCTAAATAACAGGATCTGCTTGGAAGGGAAATTATACCTGCGAATAGAGATTCAAATATCTCACCTCCATAATAACCTCAATAAATGACAAAAGATTCAAAATAGACCAACATATTATAAACACAATAACTTCCATAAATGAGTAATGGTCAAAAATAGACCAGCACATCCAAAGCTTTCTTCTCCCTTTCATAAGTATTTAAATCATCAAAAATCACAACTTAAGGGGATTATAACGCAATGATAAAGCCAGTTCTGATATACTTTAGTACCTGAATAGTAGTAGTAATACTGCAATAGTACAGGTCATCAGATATTAGCCTACTACAAATCAAACTATCCAACATCCAAGCAAAACGAATAATTCAACTAAAAATTATTACAAAAATCTACAATGATATTTTGAGAATAAAATGCAAAATTAGATTTTCAATTATACTAAACCAAAAACCAAAATCAGTACATGCCGTTATGGAAGAAATCCGAACTAAATGATTTGATAATATGAGCAGGATGAAAAATGAAAGGCTGGATGGTCTACCATGCAAAGTCATGGAAATATTAGATATGAATTAAATAAGACAAGTATATTTATCAACAGTTACTATTAATATTCAATTATAAGTTTATATGTCATTTGAATCTCTTAAGGTACAAGAATATTTTCATGAGAAACACACATTCAAATTGGGACCACTTTTGATTCTATGAATCTGAAAAACAGGTTAATGTAATGGTACTATGAAATACCAACAGGCCAGGAGTGCCCATCACCCTCCCCCCTCCCCCGCAAGAACCTACCTGCCCTCCTCCTCCCAAGATATTTTATTGCAACTTTTCTTAAAAACAGGAGAAACTAAGGTAGAATCAGAAAAATCGTAGATCATATACAATTACTTTTGCTGCGGTCTTTTCTATGTTTCCTCCTTGTCCTTTAGTTCGAAAATTCATAACCCTACGAAATTTGTCCCCCTTAAAAATTCAAAAAACCGTCAAAATATGCCCTCCTCAAAAATTTTGATGTCACTACTTGCATCATAAAACTCCCTTTTGGGCACCCTTGCAACATGCAATAGAAAGTTTTCATTGACTGCACCTCCAATCAACATATACTATTTATTTATTTCCAATCTTTTTTTTTTCAATTCCTAAAATGTTAACTAAACTTTCCAAAATTTAAATAAACATTATTTCTCTGGGGGTACAAAAAAAAAAAAAAAACTAGACATATAACTTAAATTCATATCCGTGTCAACAAGATTTTTTAAAAAAGTCCCTCCAATTTTTTTTGTTAGTTAATTAACTACCTTTAATTACTATTGAAAATGACATTATAAATACTATCCGTAGGCTAGGAATGTGTCATAATGTCTTAGTAACCAAATAAAACCTAAACAAGATTAACTGTTATTTTTGTAACAATTAAAATTAGCTTTTCATTTATGTTAATAGATTAATAATGCTGTGGATTAGTCATGAAAAAAGTTTTAAATAATTTAGGGCTTGAGGATGCCTATCAAGATTTTGACAACTTCACTGAAAAACAAAGACATGATAATCAATGAGAGTTTTAACAAATTCTTATTACTATTCTTTATATGAAAAAAAAAAAAAAAAAAAAAAAAAGAATTCAAGGTTCTGGTATTCTGAATTACTAATAGACTATAAGACTAAATAATGGTAGATAGAAAATTGAAAATATTTTTTACAGATTTAACAAAATAACTAAGTATTTTTTATGCTGTTGTCAAAATTTTGGGACTTTAGCCCATCTTCAGGACTAGGTTTCTATTTGAGAACAATGAAATTAGCATAAACAATATTTATTTCAACTTAAGAATAATTATAAAGATTCTTAATAATTAGCCAATTCTAAATAAATCAAAGGCATTCAATCAAAAAGGTAAAGCTATAGAAGTGTCACATTAGATTGATAGGAGGGCGAAGATCACTTGATTAAAACCGTTCAAGAAAAGTAATCAAGTATGTCAAAAAGTATATGGAGATCATTGATCTCTAAATTTATCCTCGATAAAAAAATTTGATTTATCCAAAATGCTTAGGTTAGGTTACACAGAATATCTAATATAACCACTATTTCATATTTCTAACCGACAATAATCACAACTCCTTAACTTACATTATCGTAATATTACAGCCTATATAGGGAAATAAACTTAATTTTTATATTTTTAACTGACGATAATTAAACCCACTAGTAATTTTTAGATTATTGAGCACAACTATGAATAACAATAATTATAAAGCTAAGGATTTAATAAAATCAATAGACACTACATTAAAAAAACAAATGAAAAGCTAAAAAAGTACTAAAAGACCAACTTAAAAATGCACCAATGATTAAGATCACACTATAATAATAAACAAAATCCATGTCTTATTTACAAGTATAATATTATTATTGAACATTTTGTGTATTTCAAAGATTTTTCAAATTGTATTATGCTAGTTAGGATACAGATGTACCTTACTGTTAAGGATGATTTGAGCATACACATTTACGTAACTGTTTTATATTTGATAACATCAATTAATGAATTCTTGTATCTCACTATATATGTATCAACAAGTCAATTTCTTTAACCTACTTGATTAAGTTGTTTATGTATGAAATTTAAGCTAACCTGACAAAACACCGACCTGCTCAGATAGCTTCGGCATTCCAGGAACAGAGTGATCAAGTGATCTCGGCACACCTTTCAACCCAATGTTACACTTCTACAGCTGTACCAGTATAACTGCAATATTTTACAATTATTTTCATTTTAGAGAACCACTGAATGATGTTGAACACAAATTCATGGCCACAACAGTTAAAATTTCAAAAAAATTTCTTAATGTAAGTACTTTGTGGCAACAAAATGACAGAATTAATATAAACAAAAGTTAAAAAAAAAAAAAAACTTAATGAGGACTCAAGCATGTTTACTTAAAACCAACAAAACAAGAATAAATTAACCTATTTGAGAAGCGCAGTAAGCACCTCAGTTTAATCTTTTGTACAGTGAAAATTCACGCACACACTCCTTAATGTCTTTGTACTGATGACACAAGTTTAAAATCCCAATCATACATAGAAAACATAACTTAACCCTAGAAAGGATGTGGTTATCGACAAATTTCATACTGACAGCAATGTTTGCATATATGCTAAGTCATTACTGAAAATACTTTCCAATTCCTACCCAATCAAACACCCATTAAGTTTTTAAATCACTTAGGACCAAAAACATTTAACACATCCAGTTTTAAGCACAAATCATGAAAGTAATATACTTGGTTTCAATTGCATAAAAAGTAATTAGTAATAACTTATATAGGATACTTAAAGAATAATATAGTAAAGCCACACTTACTTGAAATGAAATATCACAACCTTAGAAATAATAACAAGATAACTAATTAATAACAAAAATTCTCCCAAGATTCTCTAGTTTAGGAAGCACCAGCAAAGACCCAGGAATAGTTTTAAGATATCAAACTACAATCCACACTAAAGCAGTTATAAAATAGCTTTGTCTACAGTTTTGAATTATGTTGTTGACAATCCTACAGCTTACCAGACATATGTCACATATGTATTTTAAAAAATTTCTTACCTTAACCTTAAAATTTAGGTATATGTGGAATTTTAGCAAGAAAATTTACCAATTAATTTATGAAAAATCAAAACAACAGAAATACGTCTATAACCAAACCCCCATTATGTTTTCTTCCAATATGGCCTCCAAAATACTACTTACATGATATAAGCGTTAAGTTAATAATTCTTTAACAAAATATATCTTTCAATAAATATTGCTCTTTGGATAATTGATACCTAACTTATTTCTTGGTTCTTAAAGATAAACAAAATATGAACCAATATAAACAACAATGTGAAAAAAAACTCCAAGTCAACTTAATTTTAGGATAAATATGGTTTTTTTAAAACATGAATAGTGAATAAAAGCAGATTCTTCGGTTAAATTGAATTAGATATTATATTAAGAAAAATAAAAGGTAAAAAAACACGGATGTAAAAGATTTAATAGAGTGTATGTAAATTAGGAAGGGGGGGGGGAGAATTGGCAAACGTTTCCGTCCTCTGATTTACATACATGTTTTACAATCTTTTTTTTACAAAATATGAAAATACAAAAATCGAAATTTATAAACAAATATTCAGAAGCAAACGGAACACGTAATGGAGATGTTTTATTCCACGCATTCTTGGAAACGAATGAAACCAAAGTCTATAAAACAAACTAATACATAAACTAATAGGTAGTGTTATAGACCTCAGAATGAAACCACTAATATCAGTTTATTTCATTGTTACAATAGAATGCCTTTTATTCTAAATAAGGCTGTTCTGGATGACCCGAAGTTCAAGATAAGAGGTAGAATAATCATTAAATTAAAAAGTTCAAGTTACTTACTTTTATTAATTTATGAGAAACATTTATGAAAAGTAAAATACTAAAACACAAATCTAGCCGTAGGAAGACATCTTCCAAATGTTTAGAGAGCGCCGATCCCAACGACAGACGAGGGGACAGTATGCGGGGGTACTAGTGACAAAGTACAACCGCATAACTGAGAAAATGCGCGAAACAATGAGTGTGGGAGAGGTCGAAGCCAGGATGGAGTTCCTTTCGACGATACTCAAGGTCCAGCTGGCTAAGGAAACGGGGAGGAGAGACGGACTGCACAGAGAGAGATCATTCCTCGAGTGTGCCCAGAAAATGATCGATCTGAGCGCAAGAGAGGAAGAGACTCGGATGGATGTGGAAGAACCAGGGTGGATCCGGGTGAATGACAGACGACCCCGGACAGCCCCGATGGGTTGGAAGAAGAGGGAAACGAGAGAACCGAATGGAGAAAAGGCCATGACGGGCGAAAGAAGATCCGGACAGTCGAGGCCGAGGAATGGATCCCGGAGGGAAGATAGAAAATGTCATGGGTGTGGAAAGCCAGGACATCTGGTAGCACAATGTCCGCGCACTAGATGTTTCGAGTGCGGGGCCGAAGGGCATATTGCGAGGCAGTGCCCATACATGTTACGGAGGAGAGAGAGACCTCAAGACGAGCCGATGGAGGTAAACGTGCAAAAGTTGACAAGACGGGCTAGGATGCAGCGGAGGGACGGATCTTCGGAGGAGGCAACCGAGGAGTCGGGAACTTCGGGAACGGAGACGGACGAACCAGGCAGCAGTGGAGGCGAAGGAGGCAGGAGCAGCCAACGGAGCGAGCAGCGACGAGCGGCGGCGGTAAGGAGGAAGCGGGGCGGCATCTGAGGAGTGTGGCAGCAGAGAGGCGACCGCACAGCAACATGCAACAATATTCGAGGTAAGCCATGCTGGTTGCCAATTATCGAGGTAGACGGGGGAGTAAAGTGCCTCGTGGACACCGGGAGCTCGAGTACTATTATGACCAGAGCGGCGTTAGGGAAAGTGTGCGGGAGCGAGAGGGTACTCCGGATACAAAAATGCGACTGCCAGCTAATCACTCTGGGTGGTCCCTGTAGTGTAGAGGGGGAAGCGACAATTAGGCTTGATCGGTGGGCAGAAAAAGAGGGCGAACTAAAGGTACACGTAGTAGAAAACATGACTCGGGAATACCAGGTCATAGTAGGGTGCGATTTGTTAGGGCAGGTAGGGGCGAGCATTAGAAACCGTAGAGGAGCCTGGAGTATTAGGCTGGGAAAGAGGAAGTTCGGATGTATAGGGGTCGCGAGAGAAAGAAGGGTGCGAATAGGAGCGGTGAACAGAGTGGAGGACTGGAGGAAGTTGCTACAGGAGGAGTTTGGAGATATTTTCTTCAGGGAGGGTGAGGTATTGGGGGTAACAGGGAGGACGGTGCATGAAATCCCACTGAAGCAGGATAGGGTAACTTACTATTATTATTATTAAAACACTTTATTCAGAAATATTACAATTTGTCACAGTTTAAGGACACTTATAATAGAGTTCAGAGATTGCATTCATACCGTATATACAAAAATATAAATAAATAAAGTAATAACAAAAGAATAAGAAAAGAGAACAAAAGAGTAAAGAAAAAAAAAATATATATATATACACATAAGTAAATAAAAATAGAAATAAAAGTAAAACAAACACCTTATATAAAACATACCTATATACATTATTTACAATTTGCCAGGTGATCTCCGAACCAATCCTGTCCTCTCCACATGTGGAGGGAAAAGGGAGGCTTAGGAGATCCCTACGCTTCTCCCTCAGCCACTTCACTGGTATTTTAAACCAGCGGAGGATGGGTAAGAGCGCTACAGCCACAGACACTCATGACTTGAGTGGAGAATCTGGCCATTGCTAGAACTCCAAAATATCCATATTTACAAAAGGTCTCGTGGCCACTGCCGCTTTAACCTACGAAGGGGATTGTAGGGATGGGTGGTGCTTGATAGGGATTGTACAACGGGATTTGGGTGATGAGAAAGGTTCTGGTGAAATTTGGAAAATTTGGCTGGGATAAGATCAAGAATAAATGGGATATTAAGGTCATGGTGTAGGGTTTTATTGGTTACATAGAAGGGAGCATTGACTATTGTACGGAGGACTTTAGACTGAAAGGATTGAATGCGTTTGATGTTAGAAAATTTGGCTGTTCCCCATAGTTCTAGTCCGTAAGTCCAGATGGGTTTCAGTATTGTCTTATAGATCAGTAATTTGTTTTCACCAGAAAGTTTAGATTTTCTATTCAGTAGTCTATATAGCTGGCCATATCGTCTGTTAAGTTCCTGTCTTTTAAGTCTAGTATGTGGATTCCATGTTAGTCGTCTGTCTAAGAGAAAGCCAAGATACCGGACTGTATCTGAGAAAGGAAGCTGGATGGAGTTAAAATAAACTGGTGGGCAGGTATTACGCCGAAGGGTGAAGGTAATGTGTTTACATTTAGATTCGTTTACCTTAATGCGCCATTTCTTACACCAGTGTTCAATCAGGAAGAGGTGCCTTTGTAAGTTTGCGGACGCTGTTTCAGGATCTGAGTTGGAAGAAAGGATAGCAGTGTCATCAGCGAAAGTTGCCAGGAGGGTATCGGGATGGACAGGAATATCAGCGGTAAAGAGAATGTAAAGGATGGGGCCCAAGACGCTGCCTTGAGGAACGCCAGCCTCAATTGAGTAACAGTCGGAGAATTCGGTGCCACAGCGAACTCGGAAGGAGCGGTCGGAAAGATAGGATCGGAGTACTAGGTATAAGGACTGTGGTAGGTGGATTTTAAGCTTGAAGAGTAATCCGGCGTGCCATACCCGGTCAAAAGCTTGCGCTATGTCCAGAAATGCACCCGAGCAATACTGCTTGCTTTCTAGGGTTGAGGAAATATGGTCAACAACTCGGAGTCCTTGTTGGACAGTGGAATGTTGGGAACGAAATCCGAATTGATGAGTAGGAAGGTTATAGGATTCAATTATAGGTAGGATTCGTTTCAGTAGGATCTTTTCAAAAATTTTTGAGAGGATTGGGAGTAGGCTAATTGGTCTATAGGATGCTGTATTGTTGGAAGGTTTGCCTGGTTTCAAGAAGAGGACGATGGTGGAATGTTTCCATAAAAGAGGGAAGTGGGTAGTTCGTAGGATGCAATTGTATATATATGTAAGAAATATGATGGCTTTAGATGGAAGTTGTCGAAGGATCTGTGGGGTTAGAAGGTCATATCCAGGAGATTTGCGAGGAGTGATTTTCCGTAAAAGGTATTTGACCTCAGAGGGATTAACAGCTTTAGGTGGTAAGGAGAGTGGGATAGGTATTGAGAGGGATTCTTCTACTTTTACTGTGTGGCTGGGATGGGATTCTGGATGAGGAGCGAAAGTATAGGAAAGGTGTTTGGCAAATTCCTCGGCTTTATCTTCATCAGATGCTGCCCAGGAGCCATCATCTCGTCGAAGAGGGTGGGAAATATGATGGGATTTGAGGATTTTTCTGGTGATATTCCAAAGGGAATTATCATGAGCAGAGAGTCTGGTGAGGTAGGAATTGAATGATTGGGATCTGAAGGTGGCTAATTCTTGTTTTAATTTTTTACAGTGATAATTGTAGGAGTGGCGGTCGGCTGGATGTCTGGTACGTTGCCATAATAATCTGGCACGGCGTTTTATGTGGATTAGGTCAAGGAGGTGTTGAGGTAAATTATGTTTCTTAAGGATTTTTGAGGAGTGATCAGGGGAGGAAGCAGTCCAGACTGCTTCTTGAATTTTGTTAGTGAAGGAATGTACTGCATTGTCCAGGTCTTCAGGGGTTTTCAGGGTTACTCTGAGGTCAATTTTATCGGAGAGGATTTGATGAAAGAGTTTCCAGTTAACTGGGCCTCTGATGAAGGACGGAGGAGAGGGTTTAGGAATAGGAGCTAGTGATACTTGGAGTATTAATGGGCTGTGGTCTGAGGAAAGCACGTCAAGACGGGCAACGGAATGGTTGAGAGCACCTAAACCATTATGGATAAAGAAATCGAGGATATCGGGATTACGGTTAGGATCAGTGGGCCAGTAGGTAGGTGAGTTGGGTGGAAGAAGGGTAAAATTTTGGGAATTGAGTACAGACAGCAATGTTCGACCACGAGAATTCGTGGTTCTTGAACCCCATTGTTGATGCTTGGCGTTTAAGTCTGCACCCAAGATGAAATGATGTCCTAAGGAAATGAGGAAGGAACTAAATTGGATATTGGAGATGGATTGGTTTGGAGGGCAATACGCTGATGCAACGGTAATAGGAAAGGAGAA